CTGGAGTACAATGGTACAGTCATGGCACACTGCAGCCTTGACCTCCCGGGATCAAGCAAACCTTTCACCTCAGCCTCCTGAGTAGCTGGGAGGCAGTCACCACCATACCCAGCTAATTTTTAAAATTATTTGTAGAGACAGGGTGCATTGCTAAGCCTGGTCTCAAATTCCTGGGCTCGAGTCATTTGGGCCAGTGTAAGGCCCAAAGCTCTGTCCTCAGGGAGCTTGTATTCCAGTAGGGTAGACAGGAAATAACCACATAATGTCAGGTGGCAAGCATGAGTGAGGGGAAGAAGAGCTATTTCAGATAGTGTGGTCAGGGAGGACTTTTTGGAGGAGGTGACACAGGGCAGAGATCCGAAGATACAGTCTGAGGTCTGGAGCCAGAAGTTCTTTCCAGGCAGAAGCCAGCTCAGGTAGTTCAGGGCATAGGAAGATGTCTACCCTGACATCCTGGGGTTCTTTCCTGAGTATTTTTGGGTGTTTTTTTGTTTGTTTGTTTGTTTTTTAGATGGAGTCTGTTGCTCAGGCTAGAGTGCAGTGGCGCAATTTTGGCTTACTGCAACTTCCACCTCCCAGGTTCAAGAGATTCTCCTGCCTCAGCCACCCACATAGCTGGGATTACAGGCACGGCCATCATGCCAGGCTAATTTTTGTATTTTTAGTAGAGACAGGTTTCACTCTGTTGGCAAAGCTGGTCTTAAACCCCTGACCTCAGGTGATCTGCCCACTTCAGCCTCCCGAAGTGCTGGAATTACAGGTGTGGGCCGCCTTGCCTGGCCTGATGTCTATTATCTCTTGAAGGAGCCCGGCTGGCGGGTGAGGGAGCCGCTCTGGCCTTTTCCTGCATGGAATCCTATAAGCAGGTGCAGTGCACACTGAAGCGATGAGAGGGCCTCCTGGCCAGGGGACATCTAGAAGTATCTATGCTGTCGTGGAGGGGAGTGGTGGTGGGGGAGGCTTTAAGCACATTTCTTTGGGTCTGGTTCTAAGCTGTGCACAGTGCCTTCACAGGTTGGACTAATTGGGGTTATAAGTGGACTGTCTGGCCAAGGCAGGGTTTGTTTGTTTTAGCAAACCGTCAAGTATGCTTGTAAGCCTGGTTTATCCCAGACCCAGGGTGTACAATAAGTGCTCTGCAGCCTCTCCACCACGCTCCTCATCTCATCTCCCGCCAGTGTTCACCCAGAGTGTCATACACAGCGCCACGGAATGGGGCATCCATCTGCAGTTGTGCAGGCGGTCTGGAATGAATGGCAGGAAAAACTCCAGCCCGGAGGAGACCACAGGCTTAAATGTATGCTTTTGGCCCCAAAGGCCCTCTAGTAAGTTGAGCCTGAAAGTAACTGTCTCCTGTGTGCTCAGTGCTTCACAGTGTGCACAGCTTGGCCTCAGTCCTTCGTTTATTTCTTCCCTCTTGCCTGTCTGTGGCCAGCAGTGGTGGGGGATGTCACCATCCCAGCCTGTAGATAAAGAGCTGGAGGTGCTGAGAGGGTTGGTCCCCTGGTGGGTGGTGGCAGCTGCCAGAGACATGGGTACTGTGCGTGCGTTATCTCACTGCATCTCCCAGACGCTCTCCCAAGTGAAGAAGCTGAGCCCTGGGTTGGTGAAGCACTTGCTCAAGTCACCAAGCCCAAGTGGCACAGCTCACACTCCCAACCCAGGGTGTTCTGCTGAGGGAGAGCCCCAAAAGCCTGGGGAGGAGTCGGGGGACACTTGACTCCTAAGCGTTCCTTCTTTTGTGTTCACCTGGTGGAAGTGAACAATGTGCCCGCAGGAGGCTGGATGCAGCCTTTGGAGGGGACGAAAGGCTGGAGGCCTAGCAAGGAAGGCTGAGGATCAGCTGCAGCTTCTACTTCTCTCCCTCGCTGTCACCTCGTGGCTGACCTTCCTCTCTCTACGTCTACTCTATCTGGGCCTGGGCATGCCCCTGCCACATGCAGAAAGAGCCTGTGCCATACCGTTTCTCCCTGGAACTCCTTGGTGGCCAGTGGGACTGTCGCCCTGGGGTATCAAGGTGGACAGGGCAGGTGGAGCCCTGCACTTGCCATCCTTCTTCCTTCCCAGAACGCGTGGCCCAGTGTCCACCCACATCCTTCTCCCACCAAGGCTTCCTCCTAATGGGACCGTGGCTTGAGAAACAGGGTCCCTAAGGGCTGGGGCTGCCCTTGGAGGTGGGAAGGATAGAGGTCGGCCTGACTGGGGTGACCTCCAGCTGAAGCCGGCACTGGGAGCATGGGATTAGGGTTCCTGCCAGGCAGAAAAGGGTTTCTCATTTACCATGTCCTCACCTCCCTCTTTCAGGTGTAGTGTCTTTTCCCATGACCGGGAGTGCATAGAAATAGTTAAGTATAAGATGATCGTGTGCGGGAATGTTGGTACTAAACCAGCATGGACAGTTTCCCAGATTTCTCTACTACTAACTTGTCTGCACTGAGTGCGACTCACCCCTAACCCGGTGGGAGCGCTGACCAGAGGGGGCGGGAGGTTGGTGGCGTGAGCTCCAGATGGTGCATGTGCCCTTGGGCTTGGCATGGGGCGTGTCTTCATGTGAAGGACCTCAGGGAGCAGCGAGAGGGCTGAGCTGAGCTGCATGTGGAATGGCCCCCCTGGGAGGCCTGTGTCCTGTGGCTGACCTTTTAACAAAACCCTGGGACCAGGGGGCTTCAGGGCTGACCAGGACCTGCAGCACTTCCCAGCAGGAAGCCCAGCCTCTAGCCCCTCTCCCTAGCAGGGGCTAGATTATGGATTACTCACGTGGGGCCTAAGAGACCTGAATGAGTCCCATCCCTAAAATGTGACGTTTGCATTTTCTATTGCTGAGTAGCCGCTCTGTGATTAAAACAGGAATCTAAAAAGTCAAGGGGTCTCCATGGCGCTACCACTCCCAGACTCGAGGGCAGATTCTTGCTTTGTTGGCCCTACCTCAGCCCCTGTCCATAGGCAGAAGGCGTTTTTATTAATACGTGATCGTAACCTTGTAGACAATGAGACTGTGTGTCTTGCTTTGAAAATTCTGCACAAAAGCCTGCTTCCCGGTAGCTCCACCAGCCCTCAAATTGCCCATTTCTAAAGCTTTCCAGTAGCCCAGTGATGCAGCTGGAAAGCCCAAGGCCCAGTTTTTCAGGCTACCACACCCCATGCATGGAGGCTGCTGGGAGGTTTGTGGTAACTCCATGAGCCTCAGTTACTCCCTGCCCCATGGGCTCAGGCCCAACATCCCTGGGTGCTGAGAGGTCAGGGTGCCCTTCACAAGCGGGTAGGGTCTGGGCAGTCCCTTCAGGATGTGGGGTCAGTTGTAGGAGGGCGGGCGCCCCTTGGTTGCTGAGTCCCTAGACTCCTGGGGGCCACCAGGTGGGAACTTGGCTCTACCCAACAGTAGGCGCCCCAGCTGCAGTGCCGGCCTTGGGCTGGTTCTTCTGTGCTAGATCTCTCCTGGGCCCCTCCTTCCTTCTTACTCAAGTCCAACCCCAGATACTTTCAGTTACCATGATTCTGAGGATCTGGTGCCCCTGGGAAGGTGTGACAGTCCCGCCACCCACTAGCTGGCCCAGGCCCCAAGCTGCCAGTGTGGCCTTCTTGAGACCTGTGTCACCCTCCCAAGGACCAAGAGCACGTGGCTGTCTGATAAGCCTGGCCTGTGTGACTGCTCGGGACATGCACCCCCAGGTCCCTGTACAGCTGAGCAGGACAGCTCAGGGGTCCAGGGCCATGATGCATGTGTCTTTCTTCTCTCCTGGGCCACAGCCACCCCACGTCATGCTGCAGCGCTGCAGAGATCATGGCTGTCCTCTTTTTCCACACCATGCGCTACAAGTCCCAGGACCCCCGGAACCCGCACAATGACCGCTTCGTGCTTTCCAAGGTAAGAGCCCAGCTGCCCACTGCCAGCCACACCTTGCCTGGGACCGGGGTCACACGGGCCCTGGAATGGTGCGTGGTCTCTCAGGAGGCCTGGCTGAGCCCACCTCTCCCAGGTTCCTTCTCCCTGTTCGTCCTGGCCCCTCCCTCAGTGTCCTGCTCTGTGCTGACCCAGCTGGCTAAGGAATACAGGACTGAATGGGTTGCTCTTCCATGGAGCCCGGGTACATTAACCACGCTTTAACCCAGAGAAATGGAGTAGGGACCACGGAAACATCTGTGTGTTCTGCCTAGTCTGGGTGTTGACAGGCAGGACTGGCATCTAGGTCTGGGTTGGGGCTCCCTGCCTGTTCTTTCTGTTGCCCCAGCACTCCCCAAGCCATGGTTTGCCCCCCTCAGGGGTAGTGGTGTGTTCTAGCAGGGTTTTGTATGGGGACCCCCCTGAGCTGCCCCTTCTGGGTGGAATCACAGCCACAGACCCCTGAAATCCACCTGTGCCCAGGCTGGCCTCCGTGGTGTCTGGTCTCTCAGGGCAGGTTTTAGAGCTTAGAAGTCTGTCCAAGTTGTTCCCATGCCAGAAACCAGGGATTAGGGCGGCCGGCTGCCTGCTGGGGTTTTGGCTTCATCCAGCCTCACAGCTGTGCCCCCTGCATCTGTCTTGGTGTCGCCTGGCCTTGGCTGTGGGAACTTTGGGCTGAAAACCAAGAGACTGAAGAGGACTGAAAGGGGAGAAGTGGCCTTCACTTGCTTCCTCCCCTGAAATGGATGCTGCAGTTGGCCAGCTCGGCCAGGCCCCAGGGCTCAGTGTGCAGTAGGCACAGCCCCAAGCGGATCCACTCCCCACCTGACCCCACCCCACTGTCCGTCTCCCGGCAGGGCCATGCAGCTCCCATCCTGTACGCGGTCTGGGCTGAAGCTGGCTTCCTGCCCGAGGCGGAGCTGCTGAACCTGAGGAAGATCAGCTCTGACTTGGACGGGCACCCGGTCCCGGTAAGCGCTCCCGCCAGAGCCTGCCACACCTTTGCCTCTACTTCTTGTTTCCCAGGCATGCGGGACGGGGAGGGGGGTGGGGTGGGGCGGTGCGCACTGAGAAGCCAGAGGTATTGAAATGTGGAAGGGGGCGTTAAGACCAGGAAGGAAGCTTTGCGCAGTGGCAGTATCGTAGCCAATGAGGTTTATCCAAGGCGTGATTATTGCTAAAACTTTTCCCAATACCCCGCCGTAACGACTTGCAATACAGTCTGCACTGGCAATTTTTTTTTTTTTTTTTTGAGACGGAGTTTCGCTCATGTTACCCAGGCTGGAGTGCAATGGCGCGACCTCAGCTCACCGCAACCCCCGCCTCCTGGGTTCAGGCAATTCTCCTGCCTCAGCCTCTTGAGTAGCTGGGATTACAGGCATGCACCACCATGCCCAGCTAATTTTTTGTATTTTTAGTAGAGACGGGGTTTCACCGTGTTGACCAGGATGGTCTCGATCTCTTGACCTCGTGATCCACCCGCCTCGGCCTCCCAAAGTGCTGGGATTACAGGCTTGAGCCACCGCGCCCGGCTGCACTGGCAATTTTTGACAGTCTCTACGGCTACTGATTTTTAAATTAAAAAAAAAAAAAAAAAAAAGACCAGGAAGGAAAGTAGCAGGTGTTTTAGGGGCACGTATTCACCCCACACTGGTGCTAAAGGGGAAGGCCTTCTGAGGTCTCAGCCAGGGGTGCTCTGGGATGACTTCAGGGAGGGCCTCTCCCCAAGCTTCCCTTGTATGCTGGGTCCACCTGGCTAGGTAGCCACAGCTGGGGAAGCGAGGGGACTCGATAAGAGGCTGGATGCAGGATTTGGCGACGCCCTGGGGAAGGGACCTGGTTTGTTCCTTGGGGTGCCAACTGGCATCCCTGCTAATGTTTAGACTTCATAGATTACCACAAAAACTGTCACTGTGGTCCGGGTTCCTACAAAGGACAAATGTTCTTTTTTTAAAAAAGATGGGGTTTCACCATTATGACCAGGCTGGTCTTGAACTCCTGGCCTCAGGTGATCCACCCACCTCGGCCTTCCAAAGTGCTAGGATTACAGGCGTGAGCCACTGCGCCCAGCAAAGGCCAAATGTTCTGTGTCAATGTTTTCATGATTTTTTTCTCCCAGCCCTTTGTGAAGTGGGTGATGTGGGAACTGAGGCTCAGAGAAGTTCAGTCCCTCGCCTGAGGCCTGAGGCCACATAGCTGGCTAGTGGGCAGGGCTAGGATTTGAACCTGCAGCTATAATTAGTTCATTAGGTAGAGGCCACCCTGAGGCCTGACCTACTGCAGGGGAGCGGCTCTCTGGGTCTGGGTGGGAGTGTGGCTACCCGGGCAGGTGAGGCCAGAATCCCTTCTTCTCTCTGATTAACTATGGCCTTCTGTTATGACAGAAACAAGCTTTCACCGATGTGGCCACTGGCTCCCTAGGGCAGGGCCTTGGGGCCGCATGTGGGATGGCCTATACTGGCAAATACTTCGACAAGGCCAGGTAACACACCAACTCCCGCCCACTCCCCACCCCCACCCTTCACTGCTACCCCCCAGGTACTTCCTCTTTCCTGGCTAGGGCAGAGTAATACATATACATGGCCTCTTCTGCTCTTTAAGCACCCGCTGTGGCTGGTGCCATGACCTGCCCTTCTCAAATGAGGAGACATTCAGGAGTTAAGGAACTTGCCCCAGGGTCCCTCAGCAGTGACTGGCAGGGCCAGGTTTGCATAAAGTGTATGCTCCCAGTCATATGCTCTTCTGCCAGAGTGCTTAGGCTGAGGACTTCCTGTGTTGCCTCCAGCCCTGTGGCCAGACCTCAGAAGTCTCAGAAAGACCCACCCCCAGGCCCCTGTCTGACTAGGCAACAGGAGCCCAGGCCTGAGCCACTTGCCTTTATCTTGGTAAAGGGGAGGGTTGTGGGTTCTAGAGGGTCCTGGGATACCTGTAGACCACCTCCTATCAGCAGGGAAGAAACAAACATTTGAGATATTGAGCCTTCAGAGAGTGGCCTAACCAGAAAGGTGTGCTGCTCCAGCACCCAGCAGGTGGTTTGCAGGAGCAGCCCCTCAAGGCCCCGAAGGCAGGTTCTAACCATAGGTTTTTCTGCTGTGGTCAGATTTGGCCTGCGGGTATGAGGTTGTAAACTGATAAGATTAATGGCTGTCTGAGGGAAGGATTGCTTGAGGCCAGGAATTTGAGAATAGCCTGGGCCACAGAGCAGGACTCTACAAAAAATACAAAACTTAGCCAGGCATGGTGGTGCACGCCTGTAGTCCCAGCTACATGGGAGGCTGAGGTGGGAGGCTCACTTGAGCCCAGGGGCTCAAGATATAGTAATCCATGATAGAGCCACTGTACCCCAGCCTGGACTACAGAACAAGACTCTGCCTCTAAAAAACAAATATTTTTTTTTTTAAAGAATAATCATTTTATTAGTCTGTTTTCACACTGCTGATAAAGGCATACCTGAGTCTGGGAAGAAAAAGAGGTTTAATGGAGTTAAATTCTCCGTGGCTGGGGAGGCCTCATGATCATGGCGGAAGGCAATGAGGAGCAAGTCACATCTTACATGGATGGCAGCAGGCAAAGAGAGAGCTTGTGCAGGGAAATTCCCGTTTTTAAAACCATCAGATCTCGTGAGACTTACTCACCATCACAAGAACAGCATGGGAAAGAACCGTCCCCATGATTCAGTTATCTCCCACTGGGCTCCTTTTGCAACTCGTGGGAATTATGGGAGCTACAAGATGAGATTTGGGTGGGGACCCAGAGCCAAACCACGTCAGTCACTCATCAGAAGGATTCCTTTGCGCTTTGGGGGGTAGGCCCTGTGCTCAGTGCGCATGTGCTGTATCGGGTTCCACCTTGAAAAGCCCCATGAGTTGGTAGTGGTGTGAGAACCATAACTGATCTTACAGGTGAGGAAACTAAGGCAAGATGCTGGCCTAGGCCATCCAGTCAGTGATGGAGGTACCCAGCGTCCGTATTCAACATTCCTAGGCTGCTCTGGGAGAGGCTGAGGGCAGCACAGGAGCTGGGGGAGCCCTGTGGTTGGGAAGCCTACTGGAGGAGGAAGGCCAGTGGGGCCGGCCCGCAGGGTGGGAGAAGGGCCCAGCTCTGCAGCCGGTGCCATCTCCACTGCCCTGTCATCCACCCTGCAGTAGAAGCACCATGCCGGGGCTGTTGTGGGGCTGGCAGGCAAGTGGGGTTCAGGATGACTATGAGTCCTTGAAGGACAGGAGTCTGCAGGGAGCACCTTCTGTGTGCAGGCCCTTCTCCAGGACTGGCTCTCCAAGGAAGCCTCACAGTCCCTTCCAGGCCCCCTCTGGCCGGTGTCACTGACGAGGGTTTGCTTACAGTCCCTGGCTGAGCCTTGGGGCAGGCTCAGCTATAGCCAGAAGTGATTCACCATGAGGTAAAGAGGGAGAGAGACACAAAGAATGGGATGCATGTTTGAGAGCACTGTATTTGGCAGAGAACCAGAGATGTGAGTTAATTATTTCCTACAGTTGCTGGAAATAATTCCCTGTGAAGGGGCATTTCCTGACCCTTACATAATGGAACAAGTCAGTGTAGGGAGAAGGAGTTTAGCTGGGTTCCCAGAAGCCCGGGTGTCTCAGGGCCAGGGTTGGCTGGAGCCTAGGCCCTCCGACTGTACCTGGGGGAGGAGCCAGGGCATCCCAGGATTATCATGCCAGGCCAGGCACCCAGAGGTAGCGTCTTTATAGAGCAGATTGGCCTCCGCTCACTGTTTCTCCCCGCCCTCCTGTTTAAAAAATACAGAATGATATTAAGAAATGAAGGTTTTCTGTATTCTTAACACACTGCCTGCCACCTCTGACTTAAATCTAATGATGTATTTTGTCCATGTTATCAAGGAAAAAGCTTACAAATTTGTAATCCCAGTGTATGTGTGTGTGTGTGTATGTATATATATATATATATATAATATATATAACCAAATATTACACTTTAAACCAAAAGCCTTCTATTATGAGCATTTTCTCATGACATTAACTGTGGAGAGCTGATTTTTTTTCTTCTTCTTCTTTTCTTTTTGAGATGCAGTCTTGCTCTGTTGCCCAGGCTGGAGTACAGTGGTGCAATCTTGGCTCACTGCAACCTCCACCTCCTGGGTTCAAGCAATTCTCCTGCCTCAGCCTCCTGAGTAGCTGGGATTACAGGCATGCAGCACCACACCTGGCTAATTTTTATATGTTTAGTAGAGATGGGGTTTCACCATGATGGCCAGGCTGGTCTCAAATTCCTGAGGTCAGCTGATCCACCTGCTTCAGCCTCCCACAGTGTTGGGATTACAGGCGTGAGCCACCTCACCCAGACTGAGAGCTGGTTTAATGATCATGTAAAGTTCTGTTTTATGGAGATGCTATAATCTATCTAGCCAGCTCTGTTGTTGGACATGGAAGGTAGTTTCCAAATCCTTCTGCAGCAAATGTTGACCTACTGTTTAGGTTTCCCTCTCTTCATGTTAGTTCATATCTGGATGTTTGCAGCCCTCTACCCCTAACTCTAACAGCTCAGGCAATACCAAGCCTCAAGATTAGCCTAGGCTCCTGTAGGCCCCCTTTCCTGTCCACAACCCCTTCCTTGGATTCTCCTCGGGACCTTAGAGCCTCCTCTGACCTGAGCCTGTTGGCCCTGTAGGGCTTAGACTTGTGCCTAGTCTCAAAGCCCAAAGCTGTGCTGGGCCTCCCGTGCTAACCTCAGTTTGGCTTCCCTGGAAGTGGGTGTGGGCTTGGGGTGGCAGCCAGTTGGCTCCCCTGGAATCCCTTTCTGGGAAGTTGAGTTCCCTACAGGCCTCTCTGGTTCAGCCCCATCATGTGGCTCCTTTCTGGAGCTACTGTGCCAGACTGGAGCCCCTCCAGGGTCTTGGCCCCCTCAAAACCCATAGGGGAAAGAGGAGGAGAGGCTGGGACCGAATAGGGCCTCTGAAGTGTGGGCCTGAGGCTTTGTCCTTTTGGCCATGGAACCAGAGGCCTGGCCTGGCCTGGCCTGGTGGAGGCCACAGAAGAGTAGCTTGAGGCAGGGGAGGCTGCAGGGAGCGCTCCCAACCTGCTGGCATGTGGAAGTGCTGAGTCATGCTGACTGCTTCCGGGACTGGCTGGCCCAGCCTCTTCCTGCTGGCCCTGCCTTGGCCCTGCAGCAGGGAGGCCTGGAGGCTTGAACTGCTGAGCCTGCAGCCGGGTTGAGGGCCTTTTCCTGCAGGAGCAGGAGGGCAGCTGTATCCCCTCTGAGCCCAACCAGACACCAG